AAAGCTGAGAGTTTAAATTATAACGATCTCTTTTTATGTCTTTTGTATCAGGAGTAAGGAAGAGCCTTCAGGTATAAAAGTTGAGCTCTACTTTAGGAGGGAAAATCACACTCTAAAGGTATCAGCTGATACCTTAGGTCAGTAGTACTTGTAATGTTATTTGCGATATTTTAGGCAGTGGAACGCAATGCAGGGTTTCTCTATGTAGCCTCATCTCCAGACAGCTGGAAGAGAAAGGAAATACCCATGCAGCATGCCTCGGAAAAAGTCCTGCTGGCCCCTAGGCTTAGCATTTGACAGAGGATTCCTCTAGAGAAATCAAATGCCAATCAAAAACAGATTTCAAAAAGTAAAGGAACAATGGAAAGAAAAAAGAAACAAATTATTGAAGAGAAATGATGTAGAAAGTGGAGGAAAATAATGGAATGAGTCAGTAAAGGCATGAAAGCAAATGTTACTGCACACATTTTGCACGCAGAAGGACAAGTTTAAATATGCCTTAACTCCCTCTTTTCAAATTTGTAGAGTGACTTCGAAACAGATTTCAGTCTTATGTTATTCTTCACATTTTCAGGACTACAGAAACCATGCCGAGCATGACAGATTCTATAAATTCACCTGGGTGAAGACAATTGCATTCAAACTCAATATTGAACACAATAGTTTCCAAAAATATGCAGGGTGCTTTAAGGTTTAAAGAAAAAGAATTTATGGGGCCCGCATGGTGGCTCACGCCTGTAATCCCAGCACTTTGGGAGGCTGAGGCAGGTGGATCACCTGAGTCAGGAGTTCAAGACCAGCCTGGCCAACATGGCGAAATCCCATCTGTACTGAAAAAAACAAAAAATTAGCTGGGCATGGTGGCCTGTGCCTGCAATCCCAGCTTCTGGGGAAGCTGAGGCAGGAGAATCACTTGAACCCGGGAGGCAAAGGTTGCAATGAGCTGATATGGTGCCATGGCACTCCAGCCTGGGCAACAAGAACAAGACTCCGCTCAAAAAAAAAAATTGTGTTACACTTTTACCCATGAAGATCTGGATGACTCACAATTTAATAATAGGATATATGAGCTTTCACCTCTGGGTCACTGATTCTAGGGTGACTACAGCAGGCAGTAATTTTAGGACTTTATCATCTAGCAGCTGTTTTGTTCACAATCTGTAGAAGTAATGTGTTGCTTGTCTCTATTTATACTCATTGGACAGGTGTATACATTCCAAGTTATATGCATCTGCCAATCCTGAGCACTTAATTTAGGCAGAGTGGTGGAATCTACAACAGCTGTCACCTTTAGCAAGTCTTTGGCAGCCTCATTTCTCTTCCTTTCTGCAACTAAAATACTAAATATTAATATTTCATATTTATGACATTATTCTGTCTAAACCAAATCATAAAAGAAAGATATCTGTGGTAGATTTCTGAAATGAACCTAGTATCATTCTATGAAACAAAGAAGGCAACAGATAACATTTCCTAGGGGAAAATATGGTAAAGGCCAAGCCAGCTGAGAAGGCCAATAGTAGGAGGAATAAGGGACATGCAGGATATTGCAGACATCCCTGGAACTACGTGCTTTAGCCATATTCACACATGCATACACAGGTCACCAGGAAATGTACTTCTAAAATGTTACGTGCCAGAGATTTACGTACACAAGCAGTACAATATAAAATAATATAACTATCTCTGCCCTGGAGCTCTACAGCCTCTAAATCAACATCTCCTGTGGTGCTAAAGGTTTCTAATCTATCAGTTCATACCCCTTCACCATGGCAGTCAGAAACCGGATGTCACCTATTGCTCAGTAAAGTTAGTCCACTAAGAAGGACTCCCTAGCCACAGTCATGGCAATAACTTGAGAACTATGTTTTAAAAAATAAAACCATAATTTTACACAGCATAAAGGTACTTAAGTCACCATCTAGTCTGCTATGTCTGTATTGAAATATTGATGACATCTACCAAATGGCATTTGTCACAAATTAGTCCATAGCACTAATGAAAATATACTTACTGTCTAAAAATACACATTTCTATCTTCCAAGTTCATATCTTCTTTCAAAGAACTCTGCATCTCATTTTAGAAAAATATTCATTTAACCAGGCAATAGTCCAACTCACATTTAAGTTGCATTTTAATGTTTGAATAAAATGTTTAATAGGGACTCTTTTATTTGCTTAAAGGATGTTAAATAATGCACTATGTGGCACAAACTAAAAGAAATGGTGAAAAGAGTCATTAATAGCTCTTTATTTCAAATATATCATTTTGTTTCAAAAGGTTTTAAGAGCCCCGAAAGTTTAGACTTGTCACATTTGTTTCTGTCAAAACTAAGAGACCTTTTAAGATGAGAAAGCACTCACTATGGCTTTTTGACGTGGTTCAGTAGGGCAGCAAAATAACCATGCAGTTTGATTTTGCTTTGCTTTGGAACCGGTGAGTTATTACAGATTATCTGCAATTACATTTCATTGATGAGGAAATTAAGGCATAGAGAGGTTAAGTGACAAATAACACACCCTTTGAGTAGAAGGGACCACAGAATTAACGTAGCTCAAAAATATCGCAACCACTATCTTTTACTCAACTGAAAAAGGCTATTTTTTTGTATAAGCTAAAAAGTTTAAGCTCTTTAATTCTAAGTTTAATAACAACCTTAGCAAACCTGTTACTTTTGTCCTCTTTAATGCTTCGTCTTTTGTCTTAAATATCAAGACGCTCAGAGTAGAATTTAGTGCCAAAGCAGAACACCACTTCCTAGCATTGGTGTCTGGGGGCAATCTCAGACCTTTCATAAATACAGTAAGTTTTGGTTGCACATCCGTTACATACCAGACAACACTGTAGATACAGAAGTGAACAAATCTGAAAACTTCTGTCTTAATTACTTAAGTATAAGACAGAGTATGTTAGTGCTATGGAGAAAATAAAAAGCAGGAAAAAGAGAGTGTGGGGTGAGGCTCAATTTGTAAAAGGGTGTCAGTGAAAGTCACAGGGGGTGACATTTGAATATAGTCCTGAAAAGGAGGGCAGAGAACAGATAAGCGCGCCATGGAGAGGACCTTCCTGGAACAGGTAAAGTCATGTACAAAAGCCCTGAGGTGAAAAAGCATGCGAAGTATCTATGACTCATCTTTTTTGTTGCTGTTTATTTTAAGTAATGTATATTATTCTTTATTGAAAGTCCCAGCAAATGCTTTGGAAGGAAGGTCAGGAACATACATCCAATCAGAAATGCTGCAGACAAGCTTCAGATACTATGTCACTGCAGGGGAGTTTTTAGTGGTTGTACTGTACATTGCAATGACCACTTGGCTCCGTCCCTCTATCACCCCACCATCATTACTAAAACTTCCTAAAACTAACTTAGAAGGTTTAATAAAGAAAAAGAAAACTGCTTTGGGGAAATGGCCCACCCTAAGGAAATCAAATTGCTAGGCAAAGTATCCTAAGCCACAATGACTACCTCCCCTGAATTTCTAAACCCACTGGTATGTGTATCCAGCATTTAACAGGAAGTGCTATCTGGAATTGTTACTTTGTTGACATCTCATCCCTTGCTACCTTGTATTGTTCTTTTGTACACATCTGCTCTCACGGTGACTTCCTTGAGCAGGGCTCATGATTTGGAAATGTCTGAATTCCACCACAGGGCAGCAAAGTCTATTTGAGGATGATAAAGAAACTACCATAACCAGCAGCACACATTCCTCCTGTTTTAAGAATCTCTAGCTAAAGCATGAAAGAAACAGTCTTTCAGAAGCTTTTAAATAATCTCAACTATTTTAGCCAACTTACTGTTTGTGTAACATTCCGTTTTAAGTCTCTGTTTGCATTTTCAGTTGGGCACCGTATACACTTTCAGTCTAGACCCAAGCATGGGTTAGCCACAAAACACAGAGGAATCACATGGTATGGAGCTCTGGTCAGTTTGCCTCAGCCAATGTTATTAAAAACACTATTATGTGCAAGGGACTCAACATGAAGCTACCACATAGAGGATCTAAGACATTGTCCAGAGAGTCTAACAAGACAAGCAGACACGAAAGAAACAATTGCAATGTATGTAAGATATTGTGAAAGTATATAAGCAGTGACTTGGAGGGTGAGGCAACGCTAAACAGAAGAGCTGGCACCTGAACAGACAGGGTTTTGAAAGATGAATAGGCCTAGGACAATTGGACACAGGATCAAAGGGCATTCGGGACTGTGCAAAACACTGGCAGAAACATCACAGATTGAAAACTGCTGGAAGAACGCATTCACCGTCCGTGAAGGAAAGCTGGTCTGTTGCACTCTCAAGCTTTCCAAGAAAAAAACAAGTTTTCAAATAAAAGCAACGAAAGTTTCACCAGTGCTTGCTGAGAAACCTCTTAGCCTCTCTTTGCTTTGTTTTGCTCTTTCTGTTTTGTTTCCCTTTGAAAGAGTGCTGGCTTAAAACCTCAGTGAAAAAAAGTACTTCAACTTTGCTGTGGAAAAAGGAAACTGAAAAGTAGGCAAAGGCCAAGGGATACATTTTTTTAAACATGCACGCTTTTCTGGAATATATAAATGAAACAAAATTACAAATTCATGTATTAGGGGTCTGAAATATTGATTACAATTCTTTTCTCCACCAGCTCCATAAATATTTATTCTATGCCCACTGCTTGTTAGTTTATGGGATACCAGGCCGATGAGGCAGTCTCTTGCCCTCCTCTGAGCAAGCTCGTGCTTGCAATCCTGTGTAAGAAATAAGCAGAGGGCAACTCCTTGTGCCTTGTGGCTTCTACACCTGCCAACAATAGCCTAAAGTTCAGAGCAAAGTTACATTCCAGTTAAGTAAACCAGTGAGGTCAAAATACACTTAAATAACAACTGAGGCGTGAGAAACTAACAAGAGATCCTTAGTAAGTGTGTCGGTCACCTCTTCCCGGGAGCAGGAAGATTAGATTGACAGCAGGACCTCCTTGCCAGTGATTTGGAATAATAAATGGGGAAGAGAAACGGGTGAAGTTACCTGGGCGCTCAGGTAGATTTTGAGGCACTCCTCGCACACGGCCTTCTTGCAGCAAGGCAGGGGCTTGATGGGTTTGTCTTCCAGGCACACCCGGCACATCAGCACCATGAGGGGCGCATAGGGATCCCCTACACCGCCCAAGCCAGAGTAGGGTGGAGCTCCCAACAAGCTGGGCATGGAGAACGGCTCGGGCGCCAGGTAGAATTCCAGCTCGATGCTGCCGCCGTCGGGGGAGAGGGAATCGGCTGGGAGGGATAGCCGGGGGCTAGGGAAGGAAGAGCGGGTGCTGGGAGGGTTCGGCACTGGCGGAGCCCCAAGTGGCGACGCGGGCGGCGAGAGGGGCGAGAGCTGCTCCGAGGCAGGGGCCTCAGGCAAGTCGCTCTCCACGCAGTACACGGAGCAAAAGACTTGTCTCTTGGCGAGGGGCGGGCGCCGCTGACCCAGCACGTCCAGGACCAGTCCGTCGGCAGCCCCCTCGCGGGTCCCGGGCGCCAACTCCTCGCCGGGGGGCGCCTCCTGCTGTTCATCCCCTCCCTGTTTTCGGTCCCCAGCTTCCTCCTCTTCCTCCTCCAGGTCCAACTGCAGTCGCAAGGTCTGGGGGTTGAGAGGCCCGGCGAGTGCCAGTCCCGCAGGCTGCGCCGGTGCTCGGCTCTGCCTCCAGCTCGGGGCCCCCAAGCTCCTCGCCGGCGCCGGGGCGCTGGTGTCCGCGCAGCCCCAGTCGCTTCCACAGCCACCGCTGCTCGGCTCAGCGGAGGCAGCGCACAGCGGGGGCGGCCGGACGCTGTCCCCCTGCGGCCTCGGGGGCTCGGGGTGGCCCGCAGTGCCACCGGCCACGGTCTGCGACTCCTGTGGCCCGCCGCCGCCGCTCACCGTGCTCTGCTCCTCGCCCATCGCCGCCCGCGGCCCGCGCCGCCGCTGCCCATCCAGCCGCCGGGACCCCCACCCGGCGCCGGCGGGCAGCAGGGGCAGTGGCTCAGCTCGACTCGCGGCTCCGCTTCTGCTTCCGGGTCTCTCCTCCTGGGCTGGGACGCCCCAAGTCCACTCCGGGGAGCCCTTGCTCCGGGGCCGCGGCACGAGGGGAGCCCGGCCCTGCCCGACGCTCCTTCTCCTCGTCCTCTGGCGCGGCCGGGCACCGCCTCGGGGGCGCCGAGGGCCGCTCGATCTGGGCTCCGGCGCGCCCGCCCCACATGCAGCTCCAGGCGGCGCCGCAGCCCCCGCGAGCCCCGGGCGGGACACAGGGGTCCGGGAGGAGGCGGCTGTCAGCCCCGCGCCATCACAGGTCCCAGCTGCCGGACGGGCGGCAGGAGGGCGGTGGTCACAGGGTCTAGGGGCCTGTGGCGCCGCCGCGGCGCGCACCAGGAGGTGCAGCCAGAGCGCGAGCCAGCCGCAGGGCCCCTGGGGAGAGGCCGGAGCGGGCGACCTCCCTCTCCCCACGCTTCACCTAGAGCCCTCCTCGCCGCCCCTCACCCCACCCCTTTGGCGCACACCTCCTCACACGTACACACGCGCGCAGGCACCGCGCACACACTCGCACGCACACCCTGAGTGGGTGTGATCTAAGATCTGAGATGCGCTCTCTCGCCCAGAGTTCACACTCGGCCTCAGCAAAACCCTCAGAGCAGGCAGGCGCCCCTTTGGTCTCGGCATTAAGTAGAACTTCCTACAAAACTACTGAACACGCAGTCCTGGAATTAGAAAACGCTGGCTATTTAGGATGTCGAGTTCGGAGAAATAACGTTAAGGATTATGAATTCGAAATGCTGTCTATTACAACTCTGTTTTTCTGCCGAGTGGAGTAGGAAGAATCTTTGAAACCCATAAATAATCCAAAAAGCACTTTCGATCTACTCTTCCAACTGGAATCCTTACAAGAGTTGATAAAGAATTTAAGATTTGTCCTTTTTTTTTCTCCTACAGTGTTCTCTTACAAGTTTGTTGTTGTTGTTGTTTTTAACCCTTTTTCAGTATTCCAAAATGGATAGCACAGGGTGGAAAAATGTCCTAGCCTAATTAATAAACTGGATCATTAGTGGAAATCATGGGTAGTTTCATTAACATAACCATATTTATCCCCAAAACTGTTTCCAAGACAACAATTATTGCAGCCAGGACTTAATTATGTGTTGATCTATCTTTATTTTACAGGAAGTATTACTCACCCAGACACTGGTGTGTTTTAGTTCCCTAAAGCCAATGAAAACATTGTTGGGAAGCCAGCCCTTGTTTTTTTCTCCTGAGAGGGAATTCAATTTACACATTCATGTAATAGGAAGGAGCTGTAAAGTCTGTAGATTTTTTTTTTAATCTCGAAGTTGTTATTGGGTTGTTCTAAAATATTTTCTAAATCATATGCAAATGATACAAAGGTGACTAGCAATGCAAACTAAGAAAACAGTGTAATGCTAAAAGAACATTTCCACCATGTATGTGTGTCTGATGCTCAGTTGCAAGGGAAGGCATGAATTCGATGTCTAAATGCCATGTCATTTATTGGTCTGACCCAAGAGTGGAAAATTCTTATTTTGAAGATTAACTGCTATTACAGGATTCTTTTCTTTTTTTATCTCAGCTAAGTGATTTCCTGATAACTGCTGTTTTCACCAAGTGACACTTTAAGTGCTTATTGTTTTAAAGACAGAGACAAGAAGCCTACTTACGTGTGCCTTTTGAGGGTGCCATCTGGTGTCCAAGCCACTATTCTTTCCAGAGATGTAAAAGTAATCTGCGTTTTTCAGGTGACAACAGACTAAGACCAGAGTAACAATAATGGATGCAAAAATAATATATTCACTCAGTGTCTATTAGAATAAAATCCCTCAATGTCCTCCTATAGTTTTGGGAACCCTTCCTCACACACATGTTCTGAGAGCTTGTTCTTTTAGTGTTTACCATTTAATTACTTATCCATTAGGTTCCCGCTTACTGGAAGTGGCTGTCCTTTACACCAAACCCATTAGAAGTCCCTGGTGGGCTGCCTGATGGCTGTCCATATCTCCGTTGCTTAAAACTGCAGCCCTTTCTTTTGCCATGACTTCTTTGCTACAGAATTCATCTGGCTTTTGTGAAAACAGATTCATAGTTGTTTCCCTATCTCCACCCTCCAGACTGACCCAACTGCCTGAATCCTGGAACTAGCAACTGTGGCATTCAATCTAGGACTCATGGGACTCCAGCAGCATGGAAATGAATTAAAATGCGAAGTTAAAATGATGGTTCCACCATGAATTTTCTCTGAAGTGCATAAAGGGACAGTAATGATTATGGTGATGGGATTAATTTTTTAAAGAAGGGTTGGTTGAAAATATTTTATTAACCAATATTTAATATTTTGGTAAAAATTCCATTTATCTATCACACGCTTAACGTTCTCAAAACTCAAACCATCTGCTCCATCTCAGATTGTATACAACTGTTGATACAACGTAAGTACTATCACTAATATCCTGCTTCTACCAATGTAAAGCCTCAAAATGTCCTAATCTGCAGTGAAATGTGTACCTTCCCTTAAACCCAGACTTCAATATCAGAAAACTATGTCAGTTTTAGAATGATGTTTTTTCTATTATTGCCTTCTTATCCTGGCATTAAAACATGACTGTTTTTTGGCTCCCTTGAATTTTTAAAAATTATTGTTAATGCATAATATTTGAACATAATTGTGGGGTATATGTGATATTTTGATACACATTTGTATCATGCGTAATGATCAAATAAAGGTACTTAGGATATCGATCACCTTGAACAGTTATTATTTTTTGTGTTGGGAATACTTCAAATCTAGCTATTTTGAAATATACAATATATAGCTATAGTCAGCCTACTGTGTTATCGAACACTATAACTTACTCCTTCTAACTATGTTTGTATACACAAAACCAACTTCCCATCTACCCCTATCTTTTCAGCCTCTGGGAGCTAGCCTTCTACTCTACTTTCATGAGATCAGCTTTTTAAAATCCCATATATCAAGAACATGTGATATTTGTTTTTCCTGCCTTATTTCACTTGACATAATGATCTTTAGTGCCATCTACATTGCTGTGAATAACACAATTTCATTGTGATGGCTAAGTGTACTTTATTAAATATACATTTCACATTTTCTTTCTCCATTCATCTATTGATAGACAATTAGGTTGATTCCATATCAACCAATTGTGTATAATGCTGTAATAAATATGGGGGCACAGATGTCACTTCGATTTACTGATTTCCTTTCCTGCTACTGGATAAATACCCCGTAATGAGATTGCTGGATCATACGGTAGTTCTATCTTCAGTGTTTTGAGACGCTTCCATACTATTTTTCATAATGGCTATACTTATTTACGTTCCCATAAGAGTGTATAAACTTCCCTCTTCCATGCATTCTGGTCACCATTTGTTATTTTTTGTCTTTTTGATAATAGTCATTCTAACTGTAGTAAAATGATATCTCATTTTGGTTTTGATTTGCATTTCTCTGATGATTGATGATGCTGGGCATTTTTTAAACAAACTTGTTAGCCATCTGTATGACTTCTTTTGAGAAAGTCTATATAATACAAAGTATTTTGGGTTGATTTTTGTAGATTGTGATTGATAGTTGTCTAGTTTCATTCTTTTGCGTATGGATTTCCAGTTTTTTTGGCATCATTTATTGCAGAGAATGCCTTTTCCCCAATGTTTATTCTTGGCATCTTTGTTGGAAATTAGTTGGCTATGAATATGTGGACTTAATAATATTTCTGGATTCTCTACTCTGTTTCACGGGTCTGTGAGTCTGTTTTTATACAGACTTTCTTTTGTACAGACAAGAAATGTCTATGAATGTCCTTTGCCCAATTTTTAGTGCAATTTTTATATATATTATTCTGTTGAGTTTTTTGAGTTCCTTGTATATTCTGGACATTAGTCCCTTGTGGGATGAATGGTTTGCAATTATTTCCTCCCATTCTGCAGTGTGTGTCTTTACTCTCTTGATTGTTTCCTTTGCTGTGCAGAAGCGTTTTAGTTTGATGTAATCCTATTTGTCTATTTTTTTCCTTTGTTGCCAGTTTTTGCAGGATTAGTCATAAAATTATTGCCTAGTCCAATCTCCCAGAGCATTTCTCCTATGGTTTTTTATAGTAGATTTATAATTTTAGGATTTGCATTTGTATTTAATCCTTTTAGAGTTGATTTTTGTATATGGTGAGAGACAGGGATCTAGTTTTATTATTCTATATATGGATTTCCAGTTTTCTCAGCACCATTTACTAAAGAGGGTGTCCTTTCCACAGTGTTTACTCTTAGTGCCTTGGTTGAAAAATCAGTTGGCAGTAAATATGCAGACTTAAATCTGGGTATCTATTCTGCTTCATTGGTCTAGAGTCTGTGTTTATAGCACTACCATGCTGGTTTGGTTGCTATATTGTAATATAATTTGAAGCCAGGTATTGTGATACTTTCAGCTTTGTTCTTTTTGCTCAGCATTGCTTTGGATACTTAGGCTCTTTTTTTGTTGTTCCATTTGAATTTTAGAATTTTTTCTCTATTTCCATGAAAAATGACATTGGTATTTTGATAGAGATTGCATTAAATTTGCAGATTGCTTAGGTAATATATCATTTTAACGATATTCATTCTTCTTATCCATGAGCATGGGATGTCTGTCCATTTGTTTGTGTCCTATTTAGTTTCTTTCATAAGTGTTTTGCAGACTTTTTTTTGTAGAGATCTTTTACCTTCTTGATTAAATGTATTCTTAGGTATTTTATGTATTTATTTTTAAATATCATAAATAGAATTATCTTCTAGATTTCTTTCTTAGCTAGTTCATTATTGTTGTACAGAAATGATACTGACTTTTGGCTGGGAGCAGTGGCTCACGTCTGTAATCCGAGCACTTTGGGAGATCAAGGTGGGTGGATCACAGGGTCAGGAGTTCCAGACCAGTCTGGCTGACATGGTAAAACCCTGTCTCTACTAAAAATACAAAAATTAGCTGGGCATGGTGGTAGGTGCCTGTATCCCAGTCAATCAGGAGGCTAAGGCAGGAGAATCATTTGAACCCAAGAGGCGGAGGTTACAGAGAGCCAAGATTAGGCCATTGCTCTCCAGCCTGGGTGACAGGGCGAGATTCCATCACACAAAAAAAACAAAAATAAAAAAAAATAATAATGCTATAATTTTTATATGTTGGTTTTGTATCCTACAACTTTAATGAATTTATCAGATCTAGGAGTTTCTTTGAGGCCTTTGCTTATTTCTTTTCCTTCAGGAACACCCAAAATTTGAATATTTGGTTACTTTTTTGTCCCATATGTTATGTAGGCTTTGCTCATTCTTTTTTATTCTTTTTTGTTTTTTGTCTGATGGGATTATCACAAAAGATGTCTTCACATTCAGAAATTCTTTTCTCTGCTTGACTTAGTGTATTTTGAAGCTCTACATAGAGTTTCTTATTTCATTCATTGACTTATTCAGTTTTAGGATTTCTGTTGGTTCTTTTCTATGATATCTGTTTGTTGAGTTTTTCATTCAGATCATGAACTGTTTTTCTGATTTGTTTGTATTTTTAAATTTCTTTTGTATCTCACCGAGCTTCTTAATGTCATTATTTTGAATTCTTTTTCAATCATTTGATTGATTTCTTTTTTGGTGGAATCTGTTGCTGGAGAATTATTGTGTTTGTTCCTCTGGAGGTGTCATGTTTCCTTGCCTTTTCATGTTTCTTGTGTCCTTGCATTGGTATGCGCACATGTCATGTAACAGTCATTTCTTAA